TTGTTGGATTTGGAATATACATCCTGTCTGCTGCGTTTGGTAGTGCGTCGTCGACAGCCATATGGGTAAACGTTATGTAATTAAAGGATATGGTGTCAACTGCAGAGTGATAGACGAAATGTCCGTCAGAAATGTGGCTGGATTGCCCCAGGCGTCCGTTATGTAAACATCCAACCGCTCCACGGTATCGTTAATCACTCTCACACCGATCTCGTAGGGTTCGGAGAACGTAGCCTTCCACGTCGATGCTGTTGACTGTTGCACTCGTCTCAACAGAGGTTGACATTGGCCGTGTACTATGATCGGTTCGCAAATGGAACAGAATATATACAACATTCCATTCAAAACATCTCTTTTCTTATTGGCGTTTTTCCTTCTGGCGTATACTTCTCGTAGTGATATGGTCCAATGTCCGTTCAGTCTGAGTGGCTGTTTCAGGTACACGGAAAATTTATAAGGTTTATTTTCAGGAAAATAGTCGACGCTATCGTCGATCTTAGTCACAATCCATTCGGTTGACGTCATTCTCTCACTACGTGTACGTTCTTGATTTGGTCAGCGTCGATCCATGAATTGAATTTCTTTGGATATCCCACCCACTTCACTAAAACACGTTTGGTCCTTTTCTTATTTCCTTTCTTACCAACGTATTTCGTTTTGAGTATTTGTTCAATTCGCCAATTCACTTCGCTAGGATCGTGAGGATATTTCTGCAACTCGTTTTGATAAAAGGATCCTTTAATAGGATCGGATTGGAGGTCTTCTATCCAATATACGTGTATATTGTCTCTGAGTTGTCGCTGACGTATCCTAAATATTTCTTCCGACCATTTCTGTTCGTATTCCTTCTCGAACGTTCTCTTGACCAATGATACTCTGACGTGGTCTCCTACTTTAAATGCAAAGTTGCTGTTTCGTAGAGGCTTGATATTCGCTTTGTCAGCGTATATATCCAACCATATGCTAGCTTCGTTTGATGGTTTCACTTCCACGTGTGCTCTTCCTCTCAGGGTCCTGTGCGGGCGATGGTTGTAATTATAAAGAAGGTCTTGTAATACGTCGATGTACCTATGGGTATGACTGTACGTGAGGATTCTATACATCATAGATCTTAAAGTACGAATGAAACGTTCGGCGTAGTTCGCTTTAATGTCTGAGTTTTGCGTAACAAAATGTTTGACGTTAAATAGAGCGTAAATCCGTCGCACTGTTTTATTATTAAATTCCTTTCCTTTGTCCATTCTTAGACTGTATGGCGGTTTCTCCATGGACGATAATAGTTCCCTCATCGCTTTGGCGATCTAGTTTGATTCTTTATTTTTCATAGGTCGGACCCAGACATACCTCGAAAAGCAGTCGATTACGATGAGAATATACTTAATTCCATCATTGTCTTGCGCTAACCTAGAAACGTCGCATAAGTCTCCGTCTGCTTGTACGTACATTCCTCTCACGATGGCTTTATTTCTTGAAAATCGTTTCTTTGGTAAACGATGTAGGTTGTAGGCGTCTTGCGTTCTCATCCATCTTTGTATGCTATGAGAAGAGACATTAGGGTTACGATGCTTCAGAGCGGCATAAAATTTTTGTTCACCCGCGAAAGCGCCTGGTTTCCTGGGATCGTAGTATTCCTGATGATAATCAACCTGCATGATTATACTTTCCCACACCAACGTTTAACCGTCCGTTTGATATGGTTCATCCACTGGTGGGTTTTGACACTGGTGTCTCGGTAGTCTATACATTGATATTTCAGAAAATATAATGGAGAGATGACGCGTAGATACGGATCACCATCCACGTACTGACGCCACTTCAGAATAACCGTGTCTTCTTCAGTCGCTTTCATAGACCTATGAAAAAATGTATCGAAATCGTGCTCTGTCTCCCTCTCATACTTTTTTATGAATTTCCATACCACTAAGGCATAGGCGCACGATAGATGGTATTCCAAATATGCCGTTACTCTCTCAGAGTCTATTTCGTCCACTTCTGTTGGTAAGTTCATTTCCTGTCCGCTGTGATGTAAGGACTACGGTGATTGTACGCTGTCCGTGAATATATATATATATATGTACGGGATTCCCCACGAGTCCGGTACGTCCACGGGTCGATATCGTAGCTTCTCTTCCAGATGGCGCACACACTCTCCTTTTGAATAATACCAACGATGACTACATCCCAACACGACTTCGTCGTCGAAATGCGCTCTATACCGTTGTGGTGGCTTGGCGACAATAACCCATTGATATTGTTTCGTATCCATCGCGAAATATAGAATGAGTTCGGTGTTTGTATGTCTGTATGTTTTATGGTTCTCGTGAGTACGTATATTGTTTACTTACTAGTCGATGCCGGACGTCTGTGTACTTTTCTCGGTAGCTTCCCGGGCTGGTGTTTACCCTACGCGGCGATGTGTTTAATTAGTGAGCGGCGGTTGCTCGCCGTGGCAGAGCTCGCTAATTGGGGACCTCTTTTTATCGAAAAATTAAACATGGAAATCCCCATTCAAAAATTTGTCAGCGTGACTAATACACAACTACTGACGCCATTTATGAACACAAATCCTAACAGATGTAGCCAGTTGTAGACACATGATCATGAGACGCTCATAACATCGTTCTCATCCACATATGTTATCATACGTCCATCCATATGTTACCATTAATTACTGACAATAACATCGTTCTCATCCATATATGTTACCATTAATTACTGACAATAACATCGTTCTCATCCATATATGTTACCATTAATTACTGACAATAACATCGTTCTCATCCATATATGTTACCATTAATTACTGACAATAACATCGTTCTCATCCATATATGTTACCATTGATTACTGACAATAACATCGTCATTCATTGATTACTCATCCATATATGTTACCATTATTATTACAATAACATCGTTTTCATCCATATGTTACCATAAATTACTGACAATTTCACATCGTTTTCATCATATATATGTTACCATTAATTACTGACAATAACATCGTTCTCATCCATATATGTTACCATTAATTACTGACAATAACATCGTTCTCATGTGACAATTAATTACTGATAATAACATCATTCTGTGACACTTCATCAGCCACAAAGAACAAGTAGACATTATTACCATGCAGCAGTCCCACATTAAATGCTTTTCATCAACAGTTTACCTTTTTAACTATTTGTTTCAACACGACTCTTTCGTTTGTAAAGTATAAGTTTACCTTTTTAACTATTTGTTTCAACACGACTCTTTCGTTTGTAAAGTTTAATAATTCAAACTGTTATCAAACTGTAGCGTAGTTTTATACATCGTTTATGATATGTTACCGTATATTCAGCGCACTGGTGGTTCAAGGCGCGCCTGTCCGATATATAGAGTTGCGTCCCTTGGGCACACCAGAAACCTATCATTGTGGATTCGAATTCCGTTTCGTTCCGAGTTTACAAGCACCATACCCCTGCCTGTGGGATTCACCAAGGTGGCACTTCTGATGTCTCCATGACTGCATTTCCTACAACTAGAATCACTAGACCACTTACCAAGGCGGAGTTAAATACACCTTACTCACTCACTCACTCAAAGCTCAAAGTGGCGTTAAAGTTAGCTCACTAAACCAAATGTATGTATGTATGTATGTATGTATGTATGTATGTATGTATGTATGTATGTATGTATGTATGTATGTATGTATGTATACACAATCATACATACGTGTGTGTGTGTGTGTGTGTGTGTGTGTGTGTTTATGCATGTATTACTTCGTTGTAGTGTTTGATATATAACATTGTCAACATAGATCATCTTCACAGTCACAGTCACTCCTTTGTTTGACGAGATGAAAGGCTACTTCAGTGAAACAATTGTGATTGGTCGGGCCTGAAGATCTGGGCCTGATTAATCTATCAGGTTTCAATAGTCGGGAACGCGTATCCAAGATATGTACCACGAGATAGTGAGTAGGTCATATCTGAGTTTATCGCCACTGTGACAGTGTGTCAGCTATGCAGAGAAACAGGGAATGAATCAGTCGAGTATAGTTATGTCGGAGGTGGATATTTTATGATTCTATCTTCATCCATAGACACTGATACATATGATTGAATATTTTGGGCAAATTTGATTTCAGAACATCGCTAATTGATTGATATATCCGTTGATATTTCGCACATATAAATGTGAAAACGGAACATAACATATATGATATATGATGTCAACATAAATGACAATACAAGGACAATTCCCTTTGACGCACGTACTCCAGCAAATAATTTCAATGATTTAAACACCACAAAATAGCAAAACTCTTTGTTCGTTAACATGACATGTCAGCGCCAGACAATAATAAGTCTACCCACTTGGGTACAGTGTGTGAAGCCCATGTGTGTTTCCCCTGCCGTGATATTGCTGGAATATTCCAAAAAGCGGCTTAAAACCATACTCACCAATTCACTCACTCAATAATCAGTCTCTATTATCCGACGAAACATATTTCATTGGGCGTAAAATGCGATGACAACAGCGGTCATAATTTAAACAAAGGGTCGCGGAAACTCAGCGATGGCACCAGATATTCGCAAATGTGTAACTACTATTATAATCATGGTCAACCCTGCCAACAGCATCCGCCACTCACACAAGTTACAAACAGATAATGTTTGTTGCTTGTGGCCAAACAACAGTATTCCTGAGGTTGAAGATTGACTCTTTTTGCTTCCCAACAGACTTCAACTTCCACACTTCAACTCCAGATTCAGTGCCAGTTGACATCGTGGATCGTATTTGGTTTGTCTGGTTCAGAAGGGATTACTTGTTTTACACTCATGTACAACACAAATAAGCTCCAAATGAAAACAATATATATTACGTAATATCCAGTGTCATTCTTTTCTAATTCCATACGTACTGCAACGTCGAATAGAGTACAACAGATAAAAGAAGGAACGAACGAACAACTTTTGTGTCGAAATTATATTAATACAGCAACCGAAAACTGTCCATTAGGATTTACCCAATGCACTTTTAATACCACTCAGGGGCCCTTTCACAAATCAACCTTTACTAAGGTTAACCTTAACTCCCATTCTTTAAAATTGCACTAAGGTTACCATAGTGACTTACGATCACTTTAGTACTTTGTGAAAGAAGGCCCAGGTGTATAATATATTATGTATTTGAATAAAACTTATTGTTGCGAAACAGTTGATAACAAAACAAGCATCCAACAGAACGTCGCTGAAACAACCATTCCGGCACCACCATTGGTAGCTGAAAAACAAAGAAAGGGATAAAAGTGTACTCCCCATGGAGCTGATAATACAACAAGAAATGTTGTGGTTCGTTCACAACAGTATTAATACACCATGTAATTTGAGCACGCAGAGACATTACAGATGCAATTGAGAAATAGCTGAGAACGTTACAAACTTAACACAATCCATGTTATCTACATTGTGGATACTCACGTCCTGGCCGTGGTATTTCAGTGTAGCTGATATTGAAACCCGACTGTGAATGATCGCCATCAGTGTGGAAAATCAGCAACATATCTGATTGACTGGTATGTACAACTGGCATGTGAGAACCACACCACTGCCCCACAGGAGCTTCCCCGGGTACCGCACTCGGACCTGAAATCACATGTACTCATGCATGATGTTAGAAGACTTGAATTTGAAATGTACATGTATACCTGCATGTTGTTAGACCACTTGTGACTGAATGTACATGTACTGATGCATGGTGTTAGAACACTTGAGGCTGAAATGGGAAACTACTTATGTATGGTGTCAGAGCATTTGAGGCTGAAATGAACATGCATACGAGTATGAGGCTGAAATATATATCTGTACATACAATGTCTTTCAAATCTATTTAGGCACCCTTTTCCTCACAATTGTTCGAAAAACTTCATCATATAGGACGGTTTCTTGATAACAATATATAACTTTATGTTAAAATGTATGTATGTAATTCTGTTTCAAATACTTCATTTCGCGTCTGAATGACAATACGATCAGAATACTCACCGTCATATATAGAGAGGTAATCAGAGGTGCAGTTGGCAGAAAGCTGCACAGAGAATCGAAGAGGGGTCACTTGTACCACATATCCTGGCGTCCTGGTCTGTATTCTCCACAAACAGTTACTGTTACTGCAAAAGAAAGGAGCTATGTCACTGAAACAAAAGCGTTGACAGTGGTTGGTTGCGTGCGTGAGTGAGTGAGTTGGGTTCAGCGCTGTTCTGAACTGTAATCCATTTACACCACACCGTGCACGCTTAATATAGGGTGAAATCCCGAAGTGATACAGGTTTTAGACGTTGCTAAACCCACACGCTAGAGGACAAAAGAGTAGATGTGATTCCCAAGGGAGACACGTGTGAACCTACATTTCCACTTGACATTGTTACAGCGAGAACATGTAATGTGTCATGTCAGTGAGATGGGTGCGGTAGTCGCAAAACTTCAATGAGGTATGAATTACATATTTTTGATGCATAATATTGTGAGCCCTCAATTTCAATAATGCCTGCTGTATGAATTGTTGCTTCCATATTATAAGGAAAACAGTCTAAGGCGGAAGTATAACGTTACCTTGTATAGTTACCAGGAAAATTCGGCGACGTTATAAATTTCGGCGTTTGGGATGCCCATAAATGTCTATCTTCGCATGCTGAAAGTGTAAAAGATTCCAAACGTTAATTTTGATATGAAATCAGGAAATGTTTAAAGTTGTAAACTGTTAGCTAACAATGTAATCCGACCTGTCCGAAAGTAGCTCACAATGCATGATATCCGACTTTTCCGTGTGTAAATGCCTTTATATGGATGTGCAAGGTCGTGCATTTGTACGCACATGGTATTCAGGTATGACATACTTATGTGAAATAAATCATTTTAAAAACAGATACATTTGAATGCGAGATAAAGCAACGTATTATTGAATCATAATAAAAAATAAGTTTTAGAGAGATTTTCTCAACGTCCTTCTTTGTGATCGTAGAGGACACGCTTTGCTGAACACAACCCTATTGGACGCTAAGTGGTCATGATTCCTGCACAAGTTCAAGTGTTCAGGTATACAGTAACCTTTAAGTAAATAAAACTTTATTTAACACTTACGGTCAAATTTTCCTTTTAAATATGCCAATTTAAATCCTCTTGGTCTCACAACTGCACGGCTTGGATCAGCCGAGAACTCGATGCGCAGTACTTGACCAGATGAGGTGAACTGACGAATGCCATGTCCTGGTTGCGTGCCACATAACACTCCGATTTCCCGCGAATGAGGACTCCTCCCTGAAAGGAGCAGGGCATTAATTACTATCGCATGTAGATTATATTAATCCGCAGATTCTGCTGTTTAAATTCAAAGTCGGCTCACAAGCTATAACCTGTGGAATATATAAAAACGCCATTCTCATTATCTGCTTACGGTTTTTTTCTAAGTTAAGATTCAACTTACCGTCTACGAATCGGAGGTTATCACCATAGCACTCTTTAGACGTTAGTATATCATAGTCCTCAACAATAACACGTATATTGAAATCATCGGGAACCTCTATCAGCCAGAGACAGTTCGTGTCACTGAAACATAAAGATTAAATAATTGATTAAATACGAAATCGAACTTTAAAACCCAAACCTATGATTCACTCTGAAAACACATTTTCATGATTCACAATGGGAACAGTCCCGACGGTCCGACCAAATAGATTCCACTAGACTGAATACAATTATACGAAATAGCTATCAATGTTTCCTATAAATGGCATTTCTTATGTACGAATAAAAAGGTCTGTTAAAGCCGATGCAAATATTAAGTATATCATACAACCTAACATGTGCTATATCGCCTTTGGCACTATAACGATAACGTTTTTAACAATATGAGATGGAATACCAGCTTGTAATGTAACTGAATTCTCAATTTCGGTTTACCTTTCAACTAATGCTGAACAGAACATAACTATGACAACCTACGTTCTGTACGATGTAGGATAGCCTGGGGCCTGCAGAAAGGAGCCTTCTGTGGTCGCATTGTACATCCCTCCACAGGACCAAAGGTCTTTGAAAAGAAAGAAATACCCTTGTTCTACACATACATCCAAGAGTCTCGTTATGAACATAATTATAACTGTGTAAGCATTCTTTATCTCTGATCAGTGGTATCAAGAATTACAATGTGACAACAATGTGAAAAAAAGCTTCCAGTACAGATTCTCAACACTTTGGAATAAATGTGTATGATAGGAAATGTTAGTTACGGAGACGAAAACGCTTCCAACGTTTGAACTTAGCTGCTGTATGAAAAACTTGCCTAACCAATGCGCATGACCAAAACTGAAAATAAGTTCTCTCAACAGGCATGTATCACTGTTTGTGTACTGGCGAAGTTAGGTTTCCTGAATCAGCGTCCTTTCTCTCCACTTGCTTAACGTATACTACAGCTTAAACATCTGAAGGAAAATATAATTAATATACATGTACAGGCAAATTCAAATTCAGCTGCATTTAATCCATAGGTGTACACTGATCTTACCATTAGAATGTATACATCGATCTTACCATTAGAATGTATACACCAGTCTTACCATTAGAATATGTACACCGATCTTACCATTAGAATGGATACACTAGTCTTCCATTAGAATGGGTACACCAGTCTTAATAATTTGGACACCGATCTTAACTCTCGAATGTTTCACCAGTCATACCATTAAATGTATGTACAACAGACCAGTTACCATTTGAATATCTACACCGATCTTACCATTAGAATGGGTACACTACCATTAGAATCGTAACCAATCGTACCACTGGAATATGTACACCAATCGTACCATTGGAATGTGTACACTGATCTTACCATTGACTCTGACCCTAGTCTCACCATTAGAATGTGTACACCAGTCATACTATTAGAATTTGTACACCGGTCTTACCTCTCGAATGTTTCACCAGTCATACCATTAGAACGTGTACACCAGTCATACTATTAGAATGTGTACACCAGTCATACCATTAGAATGTGTACACCAGTCATACTATTAGAATGTGTACACCAGTCATACTATACTACCCATCAAAGTTTAGACTCACTAGTGTAAATGTAGCCACTTACTTGTCCACTGTTCTAAACTAGCTTTTGCAAAATATTCCATACTGTTTAAAGGTACTGTTTAGTTATGAACTGGTGTATTGTAAAACATATTCGTAACATTGAAAAGATTATTGTCATGAGTTCAGTAAATGATTAAAATCTGTGAAAATTGGCGAATTCTTAACAAAACTTTACACCAAAACGCATCTGTTCACATGCACGACATTTGCTCATGCCTTTCGCAATTTGAAGCATCATCCTTGTGCAATTCATCTGCATAAGGTTTTCAGTTGGTTCCCCAAGTTGGTGGAGAAATTCATCTTCGATGTAACCACATACATATACATAACATATAGTGAGTGCTTTAAAGTGAGTCTAAACTTTTGATGGGTAGTATATTAGAATGTGTACTACGGTTTAAAAATTGGAATTTGCTCACCATTAGCGTGTATACCAGTCTTGCCACTGGAATGTGCACACCAATCTTACCATCTGTATATATACACCTGTCTTACCATCAGTTTGGAAGTACATGAGCCGGAATCCCAAGACGTGTGTGCTGCTGTTGATGCGCTTATAGTGAACAGTGAGGGAATTCCATGTACTCTGTACCATAGGCCTTTGTTGCCCACACCATCTTCCCAAGCTGTGTGAAGAGGTTGTTGGTCCTACGGCGAAACATGCAGCTCAAGAATGCATACCATCTTACATACATCATGCATTCATACATACATGCATACATTATCAGGATATATTACATTTAAAGTTATTTCAGATATTGAAATAGAGTCATTTAAGACTTAATTATATTTAAGAAGAAATACCATGTATATCTGATTTTACTTTTAAATGACTTAGTATATGATACGTACCATCAAATATTTCAATGTAATCCTTCGTGCAGGCAGTTAACGAATCAGTTAAATTCATATGTTTTACTTGAAGGCGTACATGGATCCTATCAGAGGTTGACGACTTTGTGATTAACCATGTACAAGCATCATCACTGAATGTAAAACATGAGTGAATCCAATAAGATCCAATATCACATTGTATGCATAAATACGTACAAAACATATACTAGCAACTGAGAATGACATTATCTATGCAATGATAACTGCTTAGTGTTACCGAAGAATCATTTTATGCAGTGGAAGATATGCACACCTCAGCTTACTTTTGACTCACGTATATACCCAAGAGAAACAGCAAGTACAACCGTTGTATTTCTAGTTAATTTGAAGTCGGAAAAAAAAACAACTATATTTTACATGCACAGTGCATTATGCATATTAATGTTTCTAAATATTACCATTACAAATAATGACTCGCCTACATGCAGTACTTAGGTGTTGGCATGCCAAGTTGAGACTTACCCGGATGAAATCGATGGATACCCGGGAGACACAAGATAGCTAGTGTTGAAAGTTGCCGTCAGATTAGATTTACCACAAGACGCAGCATCTGCAACATTGACATGTACTTGATATTTCTTTATATAGAAAAACCCAAACATATGTACAAGAAAGAAATGGAAACGAAACTATGCTGATTGACAACTTTGATGTCCTGTAAAACATGTACTGTGAAACAAAATACAGTTGTTCAAATCATCCCTTCAAAGAACGAAATTGGGAGTTCTGAAGCAATGATCAAAATCATATATCTCCAACTACACAAATTAGGGTTTTTTCAACTAAAACCCCGAATGTCAAATGATCGGTTCCCTTATTTAACAATCCAGCGGTTCAGATTAACACACAATATTTCACAGTAGAGAATTGTAGGAAACCTACCGGAAATGTATGATAAGCAGAGCAGCATGAACAGCCCAGTTAAAAAATCCAAAAAACACATGGCTGTTCAAATAAGACAGAGTACGATCACTTCAGGAGACTGAGGAAAGACTGTATTCAAGGACCATCGGAAGATCAACTTTTACAGTCGTCCCACACATACCCAGGGCGCCTAGCAACGTGATACCAACCTGATCAATGTACACACACATGTATTGCAACATTCACGGCTATTTTAGAAATAAGGTCAATAGGATGGTCGCGTTCGGGCTATGCGATACACGTTATTCCATGTACAATGGTTGAACACAGTTCCTGCGGGGACTCGGATTAGAACATATGTTCAATACTTCGTGTTTATCGGAAAAGGTCACTTGTGATAAGGGGACGCAATGTGTGATTTGGTTGTTTACGGGTCAGATTAACCTGACAGAGTGGATGTTGCTCACACTGTTAACCACCGGCTTGTTTGATTCTAGCATTGACAGGTGCTTGCACGGGGTATGTATCTGGGGAAATAATGTAGATGGAGCAAGAAGAGAGTACCCGTTATATGCATGGACAAGTGGGATGTCCCAAGATTCCAAATAAATAATGTATATGGACACGTACGTGCCACTGGTGGAACAGGATACTCTCATCCTTTCGCGAATACTAGGTATCATCAGTTGTTCATAATGGTTCATAATTAGTTGGTCATTATGTTGTAGTCATAGTACAGGCAACTCCATTTGGCAGAGTTTTCACATGAATGTGGAAAGGGTTATGTGGCTATGTTGCTTGTGTTAAGCTGCTGCAGCTAAAGAGCAACTATGTAGATAATTAGGGTTTACTCTATTGTTTTATTGCATTTGATCTTGCCAGTTAGAGTGGCTTTTCTTATCTTTGCAAAGCGAGTAAGAGGCCTTAAGAGGAGGGATAGGTGCGTTTTGTAACTTCAGGTCAATGTACACGTGTTGTCTGTCAACACACCCGGATACAAATATAGTATTCCCAGAAATTATTGAGAAAGTTGTTTCGGCAAATATCTAATACGGGTATATGAACTATAGAAGTTTTACTTAAATGAATTTGTTGAGATATGATTCTCTTACAGTCAATTTTCCCTTACTCACAGTCAGACCAATACGCCATGGATCTGTAGTACTGAACTTCCTTGGCCTCCCTGCCTTGTCTTTTGCTCAATCCCAACTCCTGACTGAATATTCTTCAACGTTCTGAATACTGCAGACAGAGGAATGTCATGTCTACCAGCAAAGTCTTTTGCATTAGTCCCACCCCTTTCAAAATCATCTAGAACCAGCTTTCTTTTTTCTTCTGCTGACAAATCTGCCATGTCAACAAAGGAAGCCGTCTGCTACACCAGGGGATATAACTCTTGGTGTAGTAAGGTTCATGATCAAGCCTACACGAGTTGCCTCCCATATTGAGTACCTTACTTTTTAATGTAACAGCTATTTTAAAATTCTATTATCAGCATTAGGAAACAAAGATTTTCTCAATAATTTCTGGGAAAACTGTACATTAAAGAAAGTCCATGCTATGCTAAAATATTTTAAGTCATGATTGCTGCAGTATCAGTCTGAACATGAAAAAATCTCTTTTCTCCTTATTGTTAAATTTTATCAAGATCATTTAAATACGTTCATTTCAGAGGCTAGATGTTAGTCTTGGTAGTCTTGCTTAGACTAAGTTAGAGAATGAAAAATATTTTGCGAAATTGCGAAATAATTAGCGTTTGTCGTTGTCTCCCAATCCCTCTCTTCGCTAATTATCTGGCGCTCCTTTCATCCTTGTGATTCAGGCAGACCTTTGTAATGCACACGTAGCCCGCGTATAACGCCCCCATATAACATTACCGTTGTCTCAGTCTTTCATTGCTGATGTGACGTCAACACATTTAGCTACTGACGACAACAATGACTCCTAACTTCCAGTTGGGCTGCGCAGAACAAACCGCTTCGCTAATGGTTTAGCGCATGGCTAGAATGTCCTCACTTTTGTAGAGTGTCTGTGGTTTCGGAGTACAAAGTTGATAACAGTGTGATATTATCATATTTTTCTTTTAGTTTCCGCGGATATGGAAACCTGACCTGCTGTCGTAGAGTGCATGTAACATACTGATTGTTTTTATCGTGATTGAGTAACTAGATCTGTGAAAGCCGACTGATGTTTAAACAGGGGCAGATACAGCTTTTTGAGAAAGTGGGGTGCACACTATTGAGAAAAGGTGGGGTGCACACTTCATTTTCACCCCAGTTTCAATGGTCACTTAACAAACTTTCAGCACAAAGGGGGGTGCGCGCATCCCTGCACCAACCCCCCGCCACTGGATCCGCCTATGTGTTTAAAAGACATTAGGCCAAAACAAATAAAAAAATGTTTCTGGTATATATGCTTACAGACTAAAATGATGCGATGACGCGACTTTTTTCTCTTTTTTTGACAATGTGTTTTTTTAATAATGATTCTACTAGTTCTTCGCAGAAAGTAATAAAAAAAGAAGTGTTTGTTCATCTGCTGACAGGTTTTTGGGGACATGTTGGTGACTTTTGGGGATGTCGTGCCTATGAAAAATATCAAACTCTGGTGGCAGCATACACTGCTGCAGCTTCAATTTTGTTGTATTGGGATCAGCCATCCAAAGGCCATCGCCAAGTAGCAGGCAAGTTTAAAATGTACATAAGAAATAATGAATTGAAGGATGTGTATACTTTTATACTATTGCAATGGGACACTTTTATATTTTGTCAATTTATTTGTCTGAAATATCAAAGGAAAAATAAAAACAATGAATTAGATTTTAATATTTATTTATCCATGAAATGATTATACATTGTTTGAAAGTAATTTAGAATATTACAATGAAATATTTATGTATTTGTTAAAATTTGAAATGAAATTCAAATTAATATATAGATACTTAGGACTACTTATATTTATGAAATTATATTTCTTGTAGCCATCTTATGATACTGTTGTGCAGTTCAAAACGTCTATTTGGTCTATGTATGGGCCTGAATGCTTACCAAACTTTGGAAACTTGCGACTTCATAAGAGCTTGAAAGGCATTTTTCTTCGGCAAATGCGTTCCTTGCACCTTGTCATCGCTGAATTGTAAGTGGTAAACCATGTATTTACCAAATTCCCAGGTGTCATTCAAGTTTACGGTCCTTGGAACTGACTGGAATGGACCAGATTGTTTATCTCCAACTGAAACCGCGACCACGCAGTCATCATACTCAGCTGGTAAAACAAACTTGTCACAGGTCGAAAAATGCCCTTTCCTCAGTGACTCGTATAAATCAAGTAGCGATACATCTAGACTACATTCCACAAAGCCAAACGACCTTATAATCTTACCCCACACTCTATTTGAACTGAAACGAGTAGCATTTTGGTTTTCCCTGCTGCACGTTTTCCCCAGTTACGACAGACAGACAGACAGACAGATAGATAATTAAAAGTTTAATTCGGTGTTCGGGCAACAGGGTCCATTTAAACCTTGCCCATCATAAAGGTTTGCTAAGTTGCTAAACTTTTATAAAGTAGTAAAGCTGCCACATGCTTTAATATAATCAAGAATGACATTCTGAACTTCATGGTGAACGATATTTCTTGAGCACAATAGTCCAGTCAATGAGATGTCAATATTGTGAGATGTAAGAGATTCCACCATCGCCTTACGTTGATTTACATATTTTTGGCAATGCAGTTAATAATGAGCCACATTATCTAGCTTATTACACACTGTGCAATTTGCAGAAATATCTTTATTAATAATATTTAGATATGCACCAAGACCACAATGCCCAAGTCGAAGTCTGGTTAAAAGAACCTCTTCTCTACGGTTGCTTCTTGATAATTTGGATTTAGTTACAAAACGCTCGATGCCATACAGATGGCGTCCTTTTAAGGATGAGGTCCATCTCTGTTGCCATTTCGTTTGAGCATGGATCTTGCTGACGGTGCATAATTCTGCAGGAGAGGGCAATATTGTCTCATCCTGTTCTGATCCACCAAAGTCTAATGCAGCTTTTGCCAATTTATCAGCTTTTTCATTTCCAAATAGTCCAACATGAGCAGGTATCCATGAAAATTCTACATTTAAAAGATCTTTACTTAATTCATTAAAGTGTCGAGTATAATAATATGCTAATAATATGCTGAGGAGAAACCTGTCTGAACTGCTTGTAAAGCACTGACAAAATCGCTGAAAATGACCGCCGATACAGGTCTCAAAAAATGAATCCAAGCTTCAATGATTGCTGCAAGTTCAGCAGAAAATACTGATAAGTGATCAGCTAATCGTACACACTCCCTTTGCCCATTTATAATCCGGAAAAATACGCTTGACGCGCTGGGTTGAAACTGACGCGGGCGGAAACCAGAAACAAGACATATTTTTTTAGGCCTTATATTGAAACTGGCTGGAGAAATGAAAGCGTATGATGTAAGGGAGACAACTCCAAAACATCACAGCTCGCCTTGACGTATTTTATCTAAACGCTTAAATTGATGATGAGTACTAGCAAACCCAGATTTCAGAGTCTGTAATTCGAGATCAGCGCGTCAAAACGTGCCTTTCAACCAATGTGCCTATCCCATTCATAATCGTCACCGGTTTTGCTATGTCCCAGAAGCCGCGTTACAGCGGGATGATGGCCGCGAGGGTCGGTGTCAACACATGGCAATGATAAATAGTATACACAGATAACGCAGTATTAGGTCAGCTCAGCATGGACATTCCTGGGGTACTGCTGACGTTGTCTGGAGTCGATGTTACCATTGTAACTTGTAAACAAATATATTGCTTGCTGTCGAGTTTAATCTGTTTGCTATGTTGACATGCTGTCCGACCATGGATCAGAATGTGCATGATTTAAATCCCATAACAGGACATGGAGATTTTATGGCCGCTACACTGCTTCACTTAGGGCGGCACAACCTTGGTGTCAATGTGGCTGTGCAGAGTTGCGTCCCTTACATTTTGACACTCAGGCATTGTGACCTCTCGTCTCTCGTGACAAAATCGACCTGTGCCGAGGCCAAATATTTTTTTGAGTCGATGCTCTATTTAGAAGGACAGTTTGGAGACACTGATAACAATTTGTTTAGTAAAA